AGAATGTAATATTTAGGTGACAATAAAACAAAGGCATTTATATGAGCCAACAAAGTAAAACCCCGTGCTCGGGTGTAGGTCGGACGAGTATTAAGCTCTAATCGAAGAGTTCATTCGAAAGCCGCACAGGCGCGCTGTGAAGCCCAGAAGATTTCTGCTTAATTTAACCATCCATATATTGTGGAGAATCCTGGTAGACCCTCCAATGGAGTTTTTCCTTAACTATTTTAGGCATCAAATAAATGGTCTGAAAAAGTTTGAAGAGCAGAGCTACTGGCCTCGATAGCAGGCTTATTGTTCACCGCGAAGGCGAGTTTTGACTTATCTTAACCTAAAAAATGTTGCAGTAATCTGCAAGTCTCTGAAGGGCCTCTCTCAAAGACAGTTCTGAGGGTCGATGCCATATAAAAAGACAAGGATCTCGTCGCCGCTTAGGATGATATTAAGTTCCCAACACACTTCTGTAGGGAAAGTGGAGCTCGAAGCTACGCTCAAAATCCACTTTGGTGATCCTACAATTGCTACTTTTGAACTCCACCTGGACTCTGTTCAGAACGGAAGCATGTCCTCTGTCAGTAGTTGGCAGCCTGAAATATTTTTCAGCGCTTCTCACATACATATGTACATATATTTGTGCATGTACAAACTTCCTTTCCTTTTCTCAAATTACGAACAAGTTAAAATTATGTGTTTTTTTCTTGTTTTTGTTACCTTGTAATTAGAAGCGATAAATAAAACGAAAAACGACTAAAATTACAAGGTAACGCCAATTATAGAAACAACAACAGCTGAAAAGCGTAACGTTCGCAGACAATTTATGTATGTAGGTACAAACAAATAAGTAGGTATGTAGTATGTATGTGTTTAATGTGTGTGCTTTTATCATAATTCGAAACTCAATTATGTGCATCAGCATTTGTTTTTAAGCGTTTACTAGCACACAAGGAAAGTCAGTAAAAACGAAAGGTAAGGAAAATTTTAACTTTCTAAGTTGTTGCTACAATATTCTTTTTATGTTAAATGTTTTATTAGTACAGTCTATCCCAATGCGTTTGCTATATGAAAAGTTGTTGAGTAAGAACTTAAATGTTGAAATGGTCAAAAAAAAGTTGTACGAATCATAAAAAAGTATGAAAGTTTCGAAATATAGTGTGGTGAAATCAATTACAGGATTTTGAAAGTGAATTTTTTATATTTATTTTAATGCTTAAATATGAAGAAAAGTGTGCTCTAAAAATAATTTGTTACTTGGCAATTAAATGCACTTACAAATTTTTGGATCGGACAAAAATAAGTTATATATATGAGACGATCATTGGTCAGTAAAATTCTCAACTGAGTGTTAACAAATACGATATTATTATTCAAATTGTTTAGAGTCAGCCATATATTTATTTGATGATATTTGTTATTGTTTCATTTTTAACAAACGTCTCAGCAAATGCGATTACTTTAAAATGAGTAAGAAGACAGACGTATGTCCCCATTTTAAGCCGAACGGGCATGTAAAGCGCTTAGTCGAATTAGAAAAAAAAAATATAAATTGTTTTCCCTTACTTTAGTAAACTATTAAATATAGCAAGTACAAAAAAAAGCTGTGTAGCCCATTCAATTTTAGTATTTGCAATAAGTACAGGTTTGAAGTAGCTAGGACTTACCGTTGATTTTGGCCGTTTTTATGGGAAAAAGTACGAAATATATAAAAAAATGTATCAAAAATCAACGCAATTTTTTAGCAGCTTCAAACTTGACCTATAATTTAATTAGCTGTAGTGTAGTGGTATGCAGTGCGCGCTTTCACTCCGCAGTGACTGGCTTCAAGCCCTGGTCAAAGCAACATCGCACAAAAATATAGAAAATTGGTTTTTTCTGAAGAGCGGTCGCCCCTCGGCAGGAAATTTCAAACCTCCGAGTGTATTTCTGTCATGAAAAACAGCTCCTCATAAAAATACAATCACCGCTCGAAGTCGGCATTAAACTATAGGTCCCTCGCAAATCGGAGGAGAAGCTCGGCCAAACGTTAACATGTTTCTAAGCGCCAATCTGTGTATTATTATTATAAAACTGCATACTATAAAAAATCTGATTAAAAGTTGCAAATTTAGATGCAATTTTGTAGAATTTTTATAATTTGGCGTTTGTGCACAAAGTTTGAAATATGAATTTCTACGGTTTTTGTTAAATAATGAGTTATACTTTTATAAAAAATAAGCAATATTAAGCAAACAAAAGAAAAATAGGTAAAATTCGGTAACTGTATGTACACTAGGGGAGTAAAAATGCATGTAAAAAAGTAAAGTCGGAATTTTAATGCTCTCACCCCCTAGGATTGTTCTATACCGAAAAACTATACCCCTATTTTTTTATTTTGAAATCAAAGCATATAGAGGGTCGCTCAAAGTTTTCCATGCATTTAATATGGGAATGCGCATCGTTACTTTAACAGGCATATTCTGCTTGTAACCGAACATTTTGTAACAAGCTAATTTTGTTACCAACAATTGTCACCACTTCTTGCAACCGCAATTCTATTTACCTTGGTAACGTTTTGATTTATTCAGCAATTCAGCTATGGAGTTTTGTTGAAATTCTGGTGTTGCATATTTCACGGGGCAATATTTTGTTACCTGCTCATGAGATGGTAACAAAATTTACCGGTTACAAGAGTGTGGAGAATACGAAAAGAGTTTAAAAATTGACAGTAACTTTATTAACCGGTAACAAAATTTTTATTACCAACGCAGAATAGGTCAACTACTACTTGTATTGTCGTCTGACTGAAAGATCGCCTTATGTCGGTTACCGGTTCGAAAACGCTCTATCTCAGCAAATGGTTGAAGAACGCCTTACTTCATGTTTAGGTTGAAGAAAGTCCTACCTCAGAATTTGGTTCAAAAATGCTCTATCTAAGTAAATATATAAATTCAATTTATCGGACGCTAAATGTTCAGGTCGCTGAAAATAGTTCGCCACGCCAGAATTTGGCGGCAAAATTCATGGAAGGATATTAGTGAAACGCTTGAGGCTGCTGTGGTTAAAAGCGTTAAGTGATGTTCAACCGCAACTCGGACGAATTTTTGCGCAATTTCGTAACCGAACAGGAATATTTTTGAATCAGCCAGAGACCAAGGAACAGTTCAACGGGATGATGACACTAGTTTTTTCCGATAGATTACATAGAAACTGACACACATAGAAAATGACATTGATTTGAAGCAAAAATACTGATTTTGGCGAAGGAAAAAGTGATTTTCGACAAGGGTAATACCCGGGGGTACATGCGTGTAGGCACTACGGAAAAAAACCATATCTTGCATTACAATAGATTTGGGTCGAATGAAGATGTCATCACTGAGGAACGCATATTTTGAGTATCTTGAGGAGAGCTATGCAAAAATTCCTTGTCGAATGTATTGAGCTAGAAAGAGGATATGTTGAGAGATTTAAGGATATTTGATGAAGAAATATCGTTTATGCAAGAAGTCACTGGTTTATCAAACTACCCTTGTATTAAAAAAAATAAAAATAAAAAAAATAAATATTAATAAGAAACAGGTGTCGTAAAGATTTACAAGCGTCCAACATATTGGGCTATCATTCTTCTTTACCGCGTTTTTTTTAATTGGACTTTCTGGTTGCAGTTGGCCGAGTTTTTTTTACAAAAGTGGAAAGTGCCACAAAAGTTCATACTGAACAAGTGTAATAGTTACAGTGGAAAAAATGTACGATTTTCCGGTGGAATTGAGATAGGATTTTATTTTAGCATTATTCATAGTTTCTCTTCCCCTTTTACAAACCTGGGGCACCACTGTTCAATATACTAAATGGATGTTGAATTATGCCGAATTTCCACTAAAATTTCCATTTAAGAAATGCCATGTGGAAATGAATTTAATGAAAATTTTTCTTACCGTAATGGCACAGGTATTTTTAATGCCCAACTTTGTCATTAAAATTTGTGTCAGTTAATGTCTAGTGGAAATCTGGCATAACTAAAAATTTTATAAAATTTGTGATTGTATTTTTGAAATTAACGACCCCAAATTAGCCGGTATAGAAATTTTCAGATTTTTAGCTTCAACGGTTGATTGTTTTTACTGAAACGGTTAAAATATTTTTGTAATTTTTTTTTCAGAATGTAAGCAAAATAAATCTTGGCAATAAAAGAAGAAAAAACCACTCAGCAAAAAGGTCATTCACTTCTATTTCGCGTGCATTTTCATTGGGTGTTTGTAAAATTTAATTTCATAATTGCTAGCAAACACAACACAAAAAAAGCATATTTCTCCAACTTTTCATTACGACAAATTCCAACTAAGAGTGACTAACAAAAACGAAATGCGCCGCAAACGCCAAGTCTATAAATACAATCGTGTTGTTTTTGTTGTTTCGCCTTGCGTTTGAGTATTTATTTTTTCTACTATATTTCTTTATTTTTTTATTTATTTTTTCTCGTTTTTGTTTCAGTTGCTGCTACTATAGCGTTTTTCGCTACACACCATTCAGCTGCTAAACAAGCAAATAAACAAAAAAAAAATAAAAATATATTTCCCAATTCGTTTTATTTATCATCGTCACTGCTTTTGCTGTTTGTTTTATTACTTTGGCTTAATGGCTGACTGAGACTTAAGACGTTGCGAGCACTTCACTGATTGTGAGCTGCACACAAAGTTGGTCAGAATAGTAGCAGCTGGTTGCGAATGGGCTGGGGGTTAAAGGGTGAAGTGGAACAGCGCGGTTGCTAGGCACAATGCAAAGGCTTGCGAATCACAACCGGCTTGGGGTTCGAGCTGAAATCCAGTTTTAGCCACTTTGCTACAGGTAGACAGGCTATGAGGTTAGGTGCAACAAGTTTCGAAAGCGGTTAAGAGTGTTGGAAATTTTTATGTTTAACGTTTTTTTTATATTGTACCTACTTCACAAGCACTTGATGATAACTAAATACAGGTTTTGTATTTTGGAAATTTTCGCTAAAAAAATAAATTTAGTGTTCCACTAACCGTTTATTTGCACGTGCACCTAAAATGTTGTTGGAAAATTCTGGCTGACACACTTGTCAAACTGGCCTCGCTGCTGCTTGTATTTGTATGCCGCTCACTAATACACATGCCTTCAATACAAAAAAAAACTGTTTGACAGCGCACGGAAATTGTCAAAAGTTGCTGGGTGGTGGTCGACACACTTTTGATGTTATATTATGTTTTTCTTTTTTCTAATATTTAAGTATTTCGTTTATTTTTTATCGCTTTTCAAAATACACTGTTTTTTGCACAAAACTTTGTATAATTTTCGAAATTAAATTTTTTGTTCGCTACGCGCCATTCATAGCTGTCTTCGTCACAGTAAAATTTGTTTTGTATTTTTTTTTTGTTCTACACTTCCAGCAAACACTTCACCACAGAAACGAACTCACAGCAGTCGAATGCCAAATACAACTGAAGTTGCGGCCACTTGCATTCAAGCGTCAACTCGGTGCGTATCTATATTCCGATACAAGTAATCTTCGAAAATGTTTCGCTACTCTGCACTTCTCGCCGCTGTTTTATTTGTGTACAAGTCTACTCCAAGTGGATTTTTGAGCGTTTTGCCGTTGTTCCAACTGCGCGCTGCGCTGCCAATATTGATACTAAATGCCAACGCTGCGTCTTTATTTCGATAAAGTATCTCACAGATACAATTGGAAATGTTGCGCGCCGATTATAGTGGTGGTTGTGAGGTGGTTGCGGGCAACATTCTCCTGTGTGTGTGTGTGGGAGAGTGTTGACGAGAGCGTGCTGGAGTGCGCTTTACACATTTTGTGTTGCCGGATACATGTTGCGGACATAATGTTGCGCTTACTGTGGGTCGAATTTCTTTATTTTTTTGAATAAGCGAACCAGACATCAAGCTACATAATTGTGCACATAAAACTACCAGAGCGTCTTACATTGTACAGAACACATGTGGCGTATTCAGTGATCCCGATACTTTGGTTTTGACGTTTCCGCCATGCGTTTTTGCATCAAAGCTAATGTGGCGAGCCTTACTTATCTCTTGTACTTCGTACTTCGCAGTAAAGTCAAACGTACTTCTTTGTAATATTTTGTACTTCAGGTCTTGTAGTACTCCGATCTTCTGTACGATTGTCACTTGGCCTGGGCGAGGAAGCCTTCACGCATACATATTATGCAATAGGGGCCTTCCTCGATATCGAGGGGATCTTCAACAATGTCCCTCCAGAGGCAATAGTCGGTCTATTCATAATCTGGGGGTTGAAACCAACCTTATAAGGTTTACTTCGTGACAGAACTGTCGCGGCGGAGTAGGGGAGCGCCTACACTCAACGCAGAGTCAATAGGGGCACTCTCCAAGGTGGTATTCTATCTCCCTTGCTCTGGATTTCGGTTGTAAAAGACCTTCTCGAGGAACACTCAACGCAGAGTCAATAGGGGCACTGTGCAAGGTGGTCTTCTATCTCCCCTGCTCTGGATTTCGGTTGTAAAAGACCTTCCCGAGGAACTGGAAAAAGATGGCTGCGGGTGATCGCCTATGTAGATGATGTGGTACTTTTGGTTGAGGGACGATTTCTAAACACCCTCTTTGATGTGGCTCATGGTTACCTGAGCCAGGTACCTAGATGGGCGATCAACGGCGGCCTCGCAGTGAATCCCAGCAAGACGGAACTGCTCTTGTTTACCAGGAAGTACCAGAAACTCGATGTGACCCTTCCCTCATGTGCGATGTGACCCTTCCCTCATGTGCGGGTGCTTGTCTGTGGCTCACAGAAGAGGTCAAGTACTTAGGCTTTATCCTGGATGGGAAGCTGTCGTGGAAGCCTAACATTGCAGAGGAAGGGTAAAAATGCGTGGGTTGCCTTGTACTGCTGTAAGAGAGCTCTCGGTTAAAGGTGAGGTCTCTCGCCCAAAGTAATTCCTTAGCTATATGAAACCAGATTTAGGCGTATTTTGTTTCAAGGAGCCCTTGCCTGGTAGAACTCACTAGAGAAGGCCACACTTGAAAACAACAGGAGCGTATACAGCGGATCGCCCTAATCGGAATTAGTGGAGCATTTTCTAAGTATGTACAATACAGACTTTCAGAAAAACTTGGTCTCGTCAATTCCCGTGGAAAAAACTGAAAATGTCGTACAGTGTAATACAATTCACCAAACCAGCGTTATAAATATTTTCTTTATTAAGTTTTTTGTTTATAAATATTATATAATTATTATATATTTTTACAATTTAACGCAATTAAACCACGGTTTTTATCGAAAAATTTTATGTTAAGCAATTCACTATTTTATCAGTTTATTTTATCTCTTATTCTTACTTGTTTTATTTTATTTGGCATAATTCATCATCTCCAGGAATGCGTAATATTGTATTCTATCGTTCTTGACAGCTTCCTTGTAAATCGATTTTTGAACGGCTTCTTAATATCCTCATGAAAAATACGCAGACAGCACCGCCACCTAATGATCCGACATTTCGTGGGGTGCCTGCGCCAGCCATTTCCTTTTTCTCAGCGAAATTCAGTCTGAACTTGCAGTCAAAGGCGTATCTGCGCGAATACCTCTTAACTGCAGTCGGCTTAGAGCGAGGGAGGAGCAATTTTCAAATTCGAAGCTATTACTAGGCAAAAGGTTGGCCAAATTTTTTTTAAGCAACCCCTGCACTAATCCACCCAGAACCGAATGCCAATGTAGCTTCCTCCAGAAACTGAATTCGAGTGAAAGCTGGGTACGAGTGAAACAGCATCTGGGGCTATGAGTCCCACAGCTGCCCAGCTACTTTCACATCAATATCATATTTCGCGACGAAGAATCGTATCTTTCGATAATTAAGATTACTTCCAACAAATTCCACGGATCTATGCGTGGATTTATTGGATGATTTTCACTGTTTCATTGGAGTAACCGTGACCTTGCTGCGGCATGCAGCTTTACCCTAGTCAATCGCCTCCTTCCCTAGTTTCTGACCGTTTCTGGCCAGTATGATTAAATGTATAAACTAGCCGATTATCGAACGTGGCCGAAGATGACTGAACGGTCTACATCCGCTACGAGCCTTCAGTTATCCCCAGCCACAGTGGCTGAGATCGAATCTCAAAAGGCTAAACCTTTACTGATAGTTAATGCCACTTACAGAGAGTAGGGTCCATAAGAGAGCCGTGGTTTGGCCTCTCAGGGGAATGCCTATCGGGCAGACTATATAAAATAAACTGGCGTTTTTCGGGAACAGAATAGGCAAAATACTCGATCAGCAACTTTGTTTATCCACAGAGTCATATATGCTTCCTCTAACAGGGCCCAGTCTTGAGCCGAAACCTGACCTGATGATGTAGCATAAGATCCATATCGTATGGGTAAATGGGACTTTTTTAGCTGGTTAGAAGCGCAGACTTAGAAACAGCGTCGATTTAAGAAATCGCCAGACGTATTTATTAGCCAGAGTAACTAGCCTCAAATATATAGCGAAAACTAGAAAACACCTTGAGTGAACCTAAGAAGCGCAGACCCTCGCAATGGTATATAACTCAAACAGATGGTGAATATTGTGAGATTATCTTTTGAGATACTGCAAGGACTAAAATTGATTGCAAGCTAACATAATTTTGCTGTTATTGTCGGAGTTAAATGGACTCCAAAATTACCTGTCGAAGTCTTGAATTTCCTACTAGAGCCTTATATTTTTTACCGGTTTCGTTCAGCATCGTTTTACGTACCACTCAAGCAACATGTCGCCGATATTCACATTCGACTTTCATTATCTATTTTCACGGTTCGCTAGTTGTTTACACTGCACACATCCAAACGCACATAGTATGTACATCGCTACATTTTAGCCGCACTCAACAGGTGTGCATTTTCGAAAAATTGGTGTCATTGTGCTCTGAGTTTGATGACATCATTTCGGCTTAGTACAGCGTTACCTTCGGGCTGCTTGCAACACAATCGAACGTACAGCAACACTAGTCGCAATTCGGCAGAGAAATGGGGGTTGGTGAGTCGCTAATTACATTTGTAAACCCATGCAAAGATATACATATATGTTGCTGCAACTTTTGCACGGTGAACGCATCAGAAACAGGTTTTATGAAGAGAAATTCTTTGGTTTGCCATTTTTCGAACTTCCAATTGGAGTTTTCCGTGGGAGACGTTCCATACATTTAGATACGAGTTTTGTTTAGATACTAAAAACATGAATGTTTAGATACTTTTGTTGACGCAACATGCTACTCACAAGAATAATTGCAAATTTCGCTACCTTCGGCCATTGACGACTCTCTAAAGCAACTGATGGCCAAATCTTGTATATCGCGGCACAGATGTATAGCATATTTGAAAAATAGCTGAGGGGTTTGCAGTGCATACGTACTCGAAAGGACCACAGTTTTTCCAATAGCAGACGCCTCTCGGCAGGCAGTGGCAAACGTCCAATTTATTTCTTCTATAAGAGGTTCGAAAGCGACGTTAAACTGCAGGCTACACCACAAATTTTAAGTCATCGTATAGGCATTAAATATTTACTTGACTAGAGCTGACCTTAAACTCCGTAGTTTTTTAGGCCTGCGTCGTATCTAAGGCGTCTTCAGGTGCAATGATACTTAATTTTACGTTGCTAAGCACCAGAAGGTTATGTTTAGGGATGGCAAAAAAAATAATAATCGATTAATTAATCAACTGATTAATCACAAACCGAAAAAAAAGATTATTGAGAAATAATCGATTAATTGAATTTATAAAGGCACATTTTTATAGTGAGTATTCACAAAAACACTTTTCCATAAAAAGTGTTTAATATTCTTTTTAATTAGCCTTAAATAAAATAAAACGAGTATTTTTAGCGGTGATAATTATTTATTATTTAATCAAGTTTGCAAAAACAAAAGCTTTGATAAGCGTTTTGTTTTTAGCGGTTGCGTTTCTCGGCGGCTGTAGCACCAGCTTCTGAAAAAGGCGCTCAGCAGGCACCGAGGTACCAACTAAATGACAATATTTTTTCAAAAGTCCGTAAAGTTTTGGGTAAACGTCGATGACATTCCGATTTAGTTCTAGGACTTGATAGTTTAAATAAAAACTCATTTCATCTCGTGGGTGACCCAAATCATCAGCTTTTCATCATTTTTGTACAAGAGATTTGTGAGCGGCCCAAAGATCGAACTCATTTTCTACTGATTATAGTGACTACCCGTTTCCATAAGATCATCTGTGCACGTTATTTAAATTCGTAAGAACTTCATTACTGAGACCAATGTTAACGAATCTTAGAAATGAATTTGTTAGAAACTCGGGTCAAGTAAATTTTATGCAGCTAGCAAAAAAAATAATGTTCCTATTTCTTGAAAACGTTTTTACGATTATTTTACAATTAATCGTTTAATAAAACACAAAACTACGATACAATTAAATCGACCAAATTAATCGATTAATTTAATCAAATGATTAATCGCTGCCATCTCTAGTTATGTTTGTCTTGATGGGACTGAAAGCATGTCGTACCTACTGAGCGTTTATTTCAGGTAAATAACATATTGAACGCTTTCTTAATCCTTTCTTCTAATTGAAAAGAAGGATCTGTGGAGGGGTACCGTGCCACTATTTATTTATCCCCTCTGGTAGTCAAG